TCTCTCTCTCTCTCTCTCTCTCTCTCTCTCTCGCTGCAGCAGTCGTCGTGCAGCCCATGCGGAAGATGCGTGTGTTGGCAGCGATGGTGTCGCTGCCTTTTACATTCCTCTGCGAGGTGCTTCAAATGATGAACATTGTACACATTAAACAATTGTCCATAAACAGAAACACTGTTAGTAACAAACTTCTTCAATAATGTATCTGCGTCATCATTAAAATCTCGAACAAGCATGGGATCAGACAATATCCTAATTGCAGTGGCAAGAAGTAGATAATTATGATAAACCTTCTGTGATACTCCTTTTGTCTTGAATATGGTAAAACCATCATACAACGGTATTCTTCTGAATTCAGTTGCCTTGAGTAAGGTGTATTCAGTCCATTTCCTGGGTTTACGAGCAAACTCAAAAGGATAAAACAGAGAGATGTACTCTGACAAACTACCTATGGTCAACTTCAATGGTTCTGAAAACTTGTACCGACAATTATTGCGCTTCACTGCCAAAAGCTGAAGTAGAATTCTTTTCATCACCCCGAGACTTAGAAGATGCATTGGCTCTAGCGGCATTTGGCTAATTAAAGAAAAATCAGAAAGCTCCATTAGAGGAGTAGGGCCTTTGTGGTACCTCTTATCAAGTTGATTCCTTAAGGACTGGTCAGGTCAGTACGAAGTACAGTTTCTTCATGAGGATGATACGTCATTCGGTTTGCAATCCATAGGGTACTCCGGGGCTCGGCTAGACCGGAAGGAGAAGAACAAAAATCGTCGGGCCGGTCGGGCGCGGGGAGTAGCGAGGCAGGGTGGGGGCAGTACCCCACTCCTCCCCGCGCCCGACCGGCCCGACGATTTTTGTTCTTCTCCTTCCGGTCTAGTCGAGCCCCGGAGTACCCTATTGTCCTGTCCAACAGCAGTACATATCTCACAGGCATGGTAGCTTCCATGCTGATTGACATTTTTCAGCCAAGTACGAGCCGGTGCATCAGCAATAAGATTTCTAATAACCAATTTTAAATGGTAACCAAGATCGGTGAAGCCTGACATAAGCTCATTAGCTTCTCTAATCAAATCTTCTAAGAACAAGGCAAGATTAGATTGACTGCCCACACCAGCAATAATAAAAATATCTTTCATGCAACCACAAATTGGCCACAAAACAGTTTTAACACTTTTATATGGTGTTACACCATCAGCAAAAATGTCAATTTCAATCACATTTCCATTTAAAGTACTTAATTTTTTTTCAGTAAGTCTAGGTATTAAATTTACAAGGATACCATAGTACCAGAAAAGACCAGTTCCAAGTCTTTTGAACATTTTAACTGTGCTCCGAGGAGTTTTTAGAAGCGTTTTGGAACTTGATGGAAGATGAGGATGATTGTGCTTGCGGAGAATGTGCAACAGGCCAGTAAGAGCATTACGACCGATCTTATATTCTAAAGACCAAAGAATCAGGTCTGATTTCAATTCACTGCCATGATTACAATCTTCAGGGTCATTAAATAAAGATCTTAGATCAGATAACTCTTGAGGAGCAAAAGGATGACCCAGATCATTATCAAGATCATTATCAAAATCAATATCATTTTCATGATGGTCACAATCATAAAAGAGATCCTCCTCTTCCTCTTCCCCCTCTTCAAGATAAAGAGACTGTACCTCGCAACTATGATCTTCTTGCTCAAATGAAGCTTCAGAGGTTCCAGTTCCAGCACAATGTGGAACTTGGTCAATAGGAGTTAAAAGTGACAGATAGGAATTATCCAGAGCCGGATGTTTCGCAGATGTGATGAAATCATTATTGCAGTCAGTTACATCAACTAATTGTATTGGATCATCGTCATCGTCAAAGAGATGTTCAACATACTTGGAAGCCTTACGCTTACAGCGTTTCCACATACTATTTTGAATTCTTACGTTCTGAAAATGAGAAAGCAAACTCATAAAATAATTGTCAATGGGAAAAGATTTGCAAGAGAAGATCTGTAATACTTACTTGATGCGACATGTTGATGGACCTAAGATTAATAAGGTTCGAGAATGTTAACACATTCAAACTAGTTCAAATTTATAATAAACTTGATAAAATATATCTGAATACATCAAATCTGAAACAAACAATCAAAACAATAAAAAAAACGGGGCTTGACAAAAGCAGTCAACAGATAAAACAGAAACAGGAAACAGACAAGACCACTTGAACTTACCAAGCGTTAAAAGTGCATTAAAACACATTCTTAACAGTTTAAATTCATCATAAAATTTATCAATACTGATCGATCATCAATGCTGTATACATCGAATCTGAAACAAACAAAATAAAAACATACATCAAGGCACGGAGATTATAAGAAGCAAGCCGACAGAACAGAACTACAAAACCTAGTCAGCTAAGTCTAAGTAAAACTAGTCCACCCAGGATGACAGAAGGTCAGAACTAGTGACAAATTTAGACAGAGTCAAAAGCAGTAGGCATGTCAGGCCAAGCAAGAGTCCCGCCTGTAGCGTGATCATCTATTATAATGTTAACTTACCCACGTCTTTCTCAGCAGACCAATGAACTTTGAACAGGCTCAAGCATTATCGAGGAGGTTAGAACATGTGTTCGTTCAGTCACTACGCTAGTCAAGAAGGTGAAGAATGACGCGGTTGCTGAACAGAAGGAATGGATTCCCTGTCGTTGTTCGTATCACTACATTTCTCAAGTCTATTTTAACTAAAAACCGACGTTTAAAACAACAAAAATAATGTGAGAGAACTATACTACTATTTTCACAAGATGCGTCATTGACTTTTGAGGTCGTCCAGTGCTTCGGCCTCGCCCAAGTTGTCGTCCCATAAAATGAAATTGCTTTTGGAAATCATCGATTGAAACTTAGGTTAAAACTTTTAAGAATAGAGAAAATCGAATGGGAATAACTAAATGTTGTGTCTACAGGTAGTAAACGCGAGTTCGGTGCACGGCCCGGGATCCCAAAGTTCTTTGTTGCTTTAAGGTTGGTAGCTCTGTCGTTGAATTTCTCTTAAAAATTCGTACGTTAGAAAATTTTGGTGAATCGTTGTGGAACCTGGCCCACCTGACAGAACAGCTGATTTGGATTTACTCCAAGTCTCTTGTGTTTTTGTGTGGTGTGCCGATTCGTGTTGAAAAATGTCGAGTCAAGATCGAGGTCAAGATGCTTCAGAACTTCCGCCGCAAGCAGAGGGCAAGCCGGTAAGTTTCTCGTCCTCCGATCATTTATTGTGTTAGTTTCATTCCACTGTCGAGACTGAGAAGAAAGTCAATCATGTTACGTTTGCATTGCTTGCATGCCTGATTAGTTATCTCTGCGGTTAGCGCCCTAGATCTATTGCCACTTTAGGTCTTTCCGTGATCAGTGTGGTGGTCCGGGTAAGGTTAGGATACGCTTCTTGTTTGAACTGTTATCCGACGGCCACGAGTGATCGTATCCCCTATTCCACTATGGTCATAACTATATTTGATCATCGCATTTGATACGCGGTGATTAAAATCTTCGTATAACTGAAATGCTATTTCGAACATTGTCCCTACTCTATTTGAGTCTCTGGTACATGTTCAGAGAGGAAGTTAGTTTGGGGCAGCATTATCTGTTGTAATCAATACAATCTGTTTTTTCTTGCTTTATGTAATGAGTGGCGCTCCCTTTATTTATCATTTTGATCTGGTTGTTTCAGTATGCTGTTGTGGAACTCCTAGTGGGGAACGATCATGTGACAGCTCTAGCTCTGGTCAGCTGGCTTCGCAATGTCGAAGTCAGTGTTGATGATGATGAAAAAGATCATTTCAGGGCGAAGAAATGTTTGTGGCCGCCCAAAGAATCAACAGTCATGGATTATGTTGTGCAAAAGAAACGCCCTAAGGATAGCTGGAAGACCTTCAAAAGAGTTCGCGTTTTCACATTTTGTTGGCTGAGCGATTAGCGAAGCCTATTACTCCGTCTGGTCGGAAAAATCTTTTTCTGTCTGTCTGTCTGTCTGTGTATCTGTCCGCACAAAAACTCGAAAACGAATTGAGCCAGCGACCTGGGATTTTCAGGGTCGTTTTGTGCCTCAAAAAGACGGATCGAGTTCAAAAATGAGCATTGTAGCTCAAAAATTGGATTTTAAAAAAATCAAAAACTACAGGTCGCAAAATGTATTTTTATCAAATATTTTTTTATGCGTTCCTAAGGGGTAAACCGTCAAAGTAGATGCCCACGGACGAAAATGTTGTCCGTTTCGCTCTAGCTCAAACCGTTGAGGCGCTAGAGGGTATTCTTGACGAAAATAAGCGATAAAATGTACAACCCTGCATATTTAGTCGAAGTGATGGGCTGAAGGCCCGTATCTTTGTGTACATATTGCTACTACCTGACTCGGGTGTCAGCGCCGCAGGCCAAGATAAATGTATGCCAGGCTCGTCGCAGCGTAACAGTGTTTCGTGACATATCGCGAAACCTGTTACGCGAGACGTGGTCTGGTGTACATCTACATCTGAATTGTTTGAGACTCAAGTTTAGGAGCTTTCATTATTAATCTTGCTGTACTTTGCAGAAACTCTGGCCTCTGCAAAGTCTTTAGCTGATAAGGCAGCGTTCACGAGTGATGTCAATGATGACGATGTTGGGGCTAGTGATGGAAAGCGAAGCAGGAGGCAAACTTCTTTCTATAGTCAGGACCAGCATTTCGGAGACGATGATGAGAGACCTCTTAAGATGCTCAAACTAAATGGAGGTACATGTTTTGTTTCTCCTACTCTCCTTGCCTGTTGCCATGCTTTTCTTGTGATTATTTATTTTGAATTTAATTTGTTTTAATTTGCCATGAAATCCAGGTAACAATGATAACCTCTTTGGACCTGGTAGTCCTTCAACCCATTCACCAGCCTCAAGCCCACTCATCTTATCACCAGTACGATCGCCACCATCATCCCCTGCTGATGAGCTTGAGGTTCGGTCCAAAGGCGTCACTCCATCAGAAGCCAAAGGCATCACTCCATCAGCAGCCAAAGGCGTAACTCCAACAGCTTCGAATTTGCAAGGTACAGCCACTGCCCATATGGGTGCATGTCAGAAAAATGTACACACACCTGTCCTGGTCGTGTTTTTGCTCTACAAGATCGCCGTCTGATGTAACCTGCGGGACTGCCTTACTTAGTAACATGACACAATACCGGTCCCATGATTATTTGTTCAATTTAACAATGGAAATAGGGTGTTCCAGGCTATTTAAAACGGAAGTGAAAAAGAACAAACTCACTGACTTTTCTATTTCCGTAATGGCTCTGATTGGTCGTTCTGATCACGTGCCACTTCGGCCTTTCTAGCATGGAAAACTGCCAGATCAGTTTCGAGCTCCCCTCCATATTTGAGAGGTTAGAATCGGATCAAACTACCGTGGTAAATTCTCATACAGAACATGCGGAAACAGATAAGTCAGTGAGTTTGTTCTTTTTCACTTCCGTTTTAGATAGCCTGGAACACCCTATTGCCGTCGCAAACTTCCCCCGTGGTGTGTCCCCAAGTCGCCCCCCTCGCCGATCAGGTCTTTTTAGTTTGTTAGTTTTGGTGACAATCGGTACCAGTATTTTTTCTCAGTAGTTGAGCGTTCAAGCATTCAAAACTGAGAAGAACAAGTTGTCAGAACCTTCGCTTCTAGCTAAACAAAATTAATACATTTTGTCCCTAAAATTCCTCACACACTCTGATGCCAACGACGGCGGCAACAAACATGTCACATTCTTCGATTCAACTGTGAAGAGGTCGTCATGTGTGTGCACAGAAATGTTATATAGGGCCTAAAGAAGACGCTGAACCCGTAAGGTGCTCTAAAGTTGCACTCTAATATGTATTTTTACTAATTATAAAATTTTAGAACATCTCTGCCTTCGGCCATTCAGTGAAATTACCTCTTCCTAAAAACAAAGATTATTAAGAAACTAGGCCATTACTCCCAGTATATTTGATGTCAATGAATTTGTCTTAAAACCTTGCCAAATTTAGAATTTACTGTTTTTATCAGATATCTTTTTCTATCAAGGAAAATGAGTAAAAGCCATGTTCAGTAATTACCGCCGTGTAATCGCCACTGTCATTGCCAGTCTTCTCCGCGTTGGGTTACGGCGCTGCCGGCGCTTCTGCTACATTGCGAGCGTCAAGAGAAGTGAGGCCGTGTGAGGCGTGAGGTGTACGTCGTCGAAGCTGAGTGTTTGGTTGGGCGTATTTGTTCCCTACCAGAATTTTACGGTAAGGATCGTTTCGCAAATCCTGGCGAAACGTACCACTACTGTACAAAGTCCTTTCTTGTTATTCTCCCTGCTTACGTGCTCCGTTTGTTCCTCACGTCATCTCTAGCTCATTATAGAAAACATTGCTAAACTGTGTTATTTCTAACTTTGGCCTCAATTTACTTGAAATCAAGTCTTAGTTGATAGTACTCGTTACGAAGTGACGCAGTGCTGATGCCCGTATCACCTTTTCCACATTTCTTATAAATTGTGCAGATTCAGGTTAGGGTTATGATCAACTGAACTTGTTGCCATTTCACCTGATTGGCATCTGTAAGAAAGCATTTGTACTTTTTTCTCTTGACAGCAATATTTTGCTATACCTTTTTAAATCAGATTCCAAGTCTATTTCTACACTAACCTTTTGATTAGAGCATGAGCCACGACCTCAGAACTTTCCCCGTTTCTATTTCAAAGAATATGTTGATAACGTTACTTAGCTTTTGTTTTCCTTGGGGGTGCAGTTTTTAACATTTCACTGTTTCATTTGTTTCAGGATTCTACGGGGGAATAGTATCATCAAAGTTGTATTTGTCTTTTTTTTTTCAATAAACACACAAAAACTCACACTTTTTTTTTATATCACTAAAACCCTTTACAACATTCCCTAAAGATATAGAGAAAATTGACAGGCTGAAGAGGTAAGATTTTCTAGTCATACTGTTACCTGATGGTTGGGCAACAGTACGAAGTGGCGGCAGTTCAGTGGTTTAGTTGTCTGAGGAGTATGGTGTAATCCTTATGGTGCGGGTACATTGGTGAAAATATTTGCAGTGAATCATAAGGTAGCCTCTCGCATTAGTAAATTTAATGGTTGAAAAGTAGCCTAAAGAAACATACAAAAAGCTCAGCACATAGTTTCAAGCAAAATAGTATAACCAGATAGCTTTAAAAAAACACACAAAAAAAAAGTTTTTGCTTTGGCTTTTATCATTCAATATATTTTGAAAAAAATCCTCAAATGTAAGAGGCTACTCAGCATTTCAGTAAAGGAGAGGTTAGAGGTAGTGTTAATAATCACAAATGTTATAGTTTGCCAGTCAAGCAACACAGTTATTTAAAGAAAGAAGTAATCTATGCATTTCATTATAAAAGAGCAATTTGAACTCCTACAGGAGAAGTGTGTGTGATAGCACAGGTATTCCTCTGAATTTTCTTGGAATGACTGGTGCTAACAATGTAGTTAGAAAGGATGTAGGAGGTGGCAGATGCAAATATTTATTTTGAGAAACTAAAATACAGTTGTAGTAACATTTTCTTACAGGGGAGAGGGGGGGGGAGTAAAGTGAGAAAAAAAGAACTATTGGATTTCATGATACTGTATAGTATTGGGGTACGGGAGCCAAATCAGTGTGATTAACAGATCACATGAGTGGAGAATGGCGACGAGCTCCTGGCTCGCACCTCTATTTATTCAGTGTTTGGCATAACAAAGGGAAGAACAAAGGCGATCGTAAAACAATTAAATGGTTCTAGTTAGGGTTGTAGACTGTAGATGTCGCTACCATAGTGATCACTAAGGCCGTGACTGGATGTGTTCTGCTCTAACCAGGTTAGGTTATGTTGCCCTTTTGTTAGGTTATGTTTGACTGATGACAATACTAAACTACTCCCTCTTTTCAGAACCTCCCTCTTAACAGCTCATCTTACTTATACAATCAATAGAGCTTCTAACTTTAAACAATTTCAATGTTTTCAAATAATTTAACTACTAATCAACTTAACTAATCCTGTTGACTTCCACCTTGCGCAAACCTACGGCTTATTCAAACCTACTAGTCTGGCTCAGTGTGCAAACAAAAAGAAATTGACTTCCCTCCTAGCGTGTAGCAACGCATTAGTATGATTCCTTGCCGGGACCACCATTAACTTTCTATTAACAGTAGTTTAAACCCCATTCAGGAGATCAACCACGGAGTTCCATGCCTTTAAATTCAAAATTAATCTTGATGTTGACTTGCTGTTGGGAAAGGTGTTGCAGGGAACCTGTAACACACAAATAATCCTGGGACAGTATTTGTCATACTTTCTGGACGTTCTCCTAGGGCTCAGATTGTAAGCCCTTGGTGTCGCCTACCAACTAGTCCTATCCTTTTAGTCTAAACCTGTTAAACTCTTATTAACCTCTAGGATGTTACGAATACTTAGCTTTTATTTTTGGAAAATGTTGCATATCTGATCCATCGGCGACTGTTGTCTGCGTTGGTCGTTGATTCCTGAAGCCTGCTGAAGTTCCTCTGCGTCATGGTGCATCTTGATGTGCCTTTTTTTTCCCTTGTTCCCACCTTTCTTCTCCTTTTTTTTTGTGAGTACTTGGGGTTTCAGACAGTTCAAGTTTTTGCCTGTTTGCAAACCCAGATCCTCTAATTATTTTAGCTACTACATTTTTTTTTAGTGTGTTACAATTATTCATTCTCCTACCCGACAAACATGAACACGTTGCGGCTATGCAGCCGCAGCATGAATACGTTATGGTGGTCCCCAGATCACCGGGCAACGTAGAAGCCACTATAGCGTATGCGAACGTCGCACGATTTTCGGTGAATTAAGGTGGTAGACACTTAGTCTAAGATACTACGATTAGGCAAAGTTACCGCAGTAGTTCTCGCAACATTCCTTATTCGACGATGCAGTGCGTACATTGCCTCAAAGCGTC